CACCAGCGAGGGCAGCGCGACCCACGCCAGTTCACTTTTAGAAATTTAAAAAACGTTAGTCCTCCTGTCCTTATGAATATGCTTAGTCAGTTTCCTATTCCTGATACCCTAGTGTCCCATTATGATGAAACTCTCTCATGTATATTGAATCATCTGGCTCCTCTTAGGACACGCACTGTAACTTTTTCATATCCTGCTCCTTGGTACACACCAGAACTGCGCAAACTGAAAGCTGCTGGTCGTCAGCTTGAGCGCCGTTGGAAGAGAACTGGCTTGACGGTCCATGCCCTCGCTTTAGCTATAAGGAGGAATTGAAGAAAGCTAAAAAACACTTTATTATTCAAAAATCATCCAAGGCGCACATGGTAATTCTAGAGCTCTCTTTTCTACTGTTAATAAGTTATTGTGTCCTGTGAAATGTTTCCCTTTGGCCCCATCACCAGAACTTTGCTCTCAGTTTATGGCTTTTTTTAATCAAAAATTGATTTAATTTACTCTCAATTTCAGCCTGTTTTAGCTTCATTGAATTTCCAGACTCCATCTTTTCAATTTAGCGGCAGTTGTTTTTCCACTTTTAATACTGTGCATGAAAGTTTTGTCTTACAGCTTATTAAGTCCTCTGGAGCTACCACTTGCCAACTGGACCCCATGCCAACACACTGGGTGAAAGCTTGTCATGCTTCAGTTTGTCCTCTCATTACTCAGGTTATCAATGCATCACTCAGTTCAGGTTTTGTCCCAGCTTGTTTGAAATTGGCTGCCATTACGCCGGTTCTCAAGAAGACTGATTTAGACCCTGAGAACTTAGCAAATTACAGGCCAATCTCTAATCTCCCATTTCTCACCAAAATACTTGAACGGACGGTAGCAGTCCAGTTAATAGACCATATCGAATCCAATGACCTGTTTGAAGTTTTCCAGTCCGGTTTTAGAAAGAATCACAGCACTGAAACTGCGCTTGTTAGGGTGGTGAATGATCTCTTAATAGCAGCTGATAAGGGTTTGTTGAATTTGCTTGTTCTATTGGACCTTACTGCCACTTTTGATACGGTATGCCATAGCCTACTACTATATTGGCTTCAAAATTTGATTGGCATATCTGGTACTGCACTTGCCTGGTTCCAGTCTTATCTAGCAGACAGGCAGCAGTTTGTCTCTTTTGGAGGTAACAGATCTGACTCGTGCTCCCTGTCATGTGGTGTCCCTCAGGGGTCAGGCCTTGGCCCTTTGCTCTTTATATAGTACATGCTCCCCCTTGGTGACATCATCAGGCGACATGGATTGCAGTTTCATTGTTTTGCGGATGATGTGTAGATCTATATGTATACTAAACCATCTCACGGTTTACCACCCTCGGTTTTGATTCATTGTTTAGCTGATGTTAGGACACGAATGACTGAGAACTTCCTGAGTCTGAATAGTAATAAGTCGGAGGTCATATTAATTGCCTCTCCAGCTACAATTAAAAAGATAGGCAACACTGATGTCTCTATTCCTGGTTATATCGTCTTGTAGGAGCCAGATTTGAGTTTATATTTATTTTCCTTGAGAGACGTTTATTTTGATTTAGATTTAATGTCTTTTTACTTGAGACTCTTATTTTGACACATTTTGTCACATGACACACTACCAGTTAAGATGGCGTCTTCCTTAGGCACAGACACAGCCTCATGGCTTAGAAATGGAAGACGCTGAGAACAAACAGTTTTTTACCGCTTATGCTTATAGTTTAAAGCTTACTGCTTAACCTCCTTTTTGTAATTTTGGAAACTTTGTACATTTGAAGTCTGCACTTTAGAAACCCATCTTTTGGGTTAATTTGAACTTTCAAGCAATTTGATAAAACCACTGCATACCTGCCTGCCCCTTTGTTTGCCCACTTGCCTGCCTGTCTACATACCTGCCTGCTTGTCTACATACCTAGCTGCCTGCCTGCCTACTCCTTTGTTTGCCTGCCTGCTCACCTCTCTCCCACCACCATTGAACACAGGTATGACTCACAGCCAAACACAGTGTGTATAATAAGAAAGCATGTAACAACTGAAACAGCGTCTAAACTGGATTTAAATTTTGGTCAATACACGTCTCTTCTTTGACCCAGATTAGAAATTTGGGAGCGATTTTTGACTCCACTCTGTCTTTTGAACCACATATCAAACACACTTGTAGGGCATCCTTTTTCCATCTGAAGAGCATTGCTAGGATCCGCACTTTTCTCTCTTTTTCTGCTGCTGAGACTGTTATCCATGCTTTTGTAACACCTAGAATTGACTACTGCAATGCTGTGCTATATGGACTCCCTGCTGGGGTTCTGAATAGGCTGCAGTATGTGCAGAATTCAGCTGCTAGGGTTTTAACCCACACTAGATCCTGGGAACACATCAGTCCAACTCTGAAACAGCTTCATTGGCTCCCAGTACAGTATCATGTTTGATACAAATTGCTTGTGCTGGTTTTTAAATCTTTGAATGGCCTTGCCCCCTCCTACCTTGGTAGTCTGCTGCAGTTATACTCTCCAGCTTGCACTCTTCACTCCTCTGATTCACATTTGCTCCAAGTTCCTCCCTCTAAGCTGTGTACTGTTGGTGACAGGGCATTTAGTGTTGCTGGCCCCAAGCTGTGGAACAGTCTCCCCTCTGAGTTGCGTGCTTGTTCGACCCTGGCTATGTTCAAAGCTAGTTTTAAAACCAACCTTTTCCAGCTGGCTTTTTGGTGAACCAGTATTGTGATTTTTGTAAATTGTGTATATTGCTTTTACGTATTTCTACATGCTATTTTTATTTTACTTGTTATTTATTTACTTTTTAATTTATTTTTGTTTTTATCTGTTATTTTTATTGTACAGTGTCCTTGGGTGTCTTGAAAGGCACTTATCAAATAAAATATTATCATAATTATTATTATTATTATCCAATCACAAGGGAAAAGAATATTTATTAAGAGAATTACTTTAGTAAATGTGTCGGTTTTTATGTAATCACAAAAACAGTGAATTCAAAACAGGCTGTAAGGACTGGGGAGTGAGGGATATGTCTTTTATTTCAATAGATAGAAGTTTTCTGTTATTGGAACCCTTTAAAAGCGAATGAATGCACAATTCAGTCAGAGTTTATTGCATGTGCTGTTTTAATGATACCTTAATGAACAAATCCAGTTCCAAAAAATTGGGACTGTATGTGGAATGCCACTAGAAACAGAAAGCAGGAATTAATAAACTTTGTTTGCCCTGTGTTAAATTAAAAACAGCATAAAAACATCACATTTACTTAATGAACACTATTGTTGTTCTTTTTTGTAAATATACACTCATTTCAAATATGATACCTGCATCTTTTTTTCCAAAATACAGCATGTTTACTACTGTGTTACATCACCTTTCCTTTAAACAGCACTTAAACATTTGGAGACTGAAGACACAAAATGATCCAGTTTTAAAAGTGGATTCTTGTCTTTCTTCAGTTACAGATGTATAAATATTGTGAGCTCGAGTCCAGAGAAGCTGCTGGACATTTCTGGACGTTGTTGACATGTGGATTCCACTGTGCATCATACAGTCTTAACTTACATTAGCAGATGCAGTGCAAACAGTGTTTATGACAACGATTTGTCAAAGTATTCCTGAGGCCATGTGTTGATATCCATCACAGAAGCATGAGGATTTTTAATGCAGTGTTGTCTGAGAGGTCAAAGGTCACAGGCATTCAGTTGAGGTTTTTGGCAGACAGTTATTTTGATGAGCTAAAACGCTAATTATCTTGTCTTTGTGCTGTTACTGTTTAAATACAGCTCAAAGTGAATTTACAAATCACTGCTCTCTGTGTTCATTTGCATTTTACTTACTGTCCCAACATTTGTGGAACTGGGTTTGTAAACTGGCCTGTTATCAGTGGATGTTGGTGAAAAACTGTAGCACGATGTTGCAGATTATTGTGCGTCTCTTTTGTGCTCTTCTTCCTCTCTCTGCTCTTCCTGTTGCAGCTCCAGCAGCTCACTGAGGACCTCCAGCATTTCATCAAAGATCTGCTGCAACCTACACACAAACACACAAACACACATTCAGTCATAATGTTCATGTTGGAGTTTCTTAACGTCACACTTCAACATGGCAGGTTGAGATTCATTATAAAGACACATTACATTGTAAAGCTACATGATAACTTAAAACTATTTACTTGTGAAAAGATAAATTAATCAAGACAAGATGGTTTTATGGAGGAGTGTAAAACACAGACCTCAGATCTGAATGGAAAGGCATTTAGAATGAAGGATAACTCAGTAAACAGAGATTTCTCTATTAGCCCTATAATGCCTAAAGCAGAAAGCAGCATTTTCTGTCTCTAATTTACTCTTCTCCTTTAATAACGTCATTTCTCAGTACTGCTTTTAGATGTAACAACAGCATCTAACAAAGCTGAAAATTTATAGATGTTTAATTTGTAAGATATGCTACCTTTTTGAAACAAGCAAATGTATTTTATCAGAGTTTGTGATTGTGGTGGGAGCTTACACATCTGGGTGCATTCTATCTATTTCTGTATTGTTTATGGCTCAGTTACACTGTTTTATATCAGCATTATTTTGCACAATAACTGGATACTTTGATCTTTTGTTGCAACAAATTAAATCAAATATCACCTCAAACCTAAAAATGTATTTTTTCGTTACACTCTACTACAAACTGAAGAGCAATAAAGCTCAGTGTGTGTGTGTATGTTGCTCACTTGTCCAGGGTGGCGTCCTGGTGTCACAGCGTGGTGAGATATATCTGTAGAAATGTCAAGCTGCTGCTCTTATCCTTCGTTACAATGTGGTCCGAGTCAGAGAGAGACATTCTGAGCTGCTGGATGATTCGGGGGAAATTCTCAGTCTTTATGTTCGTGTCGGACCATTTCTTCAGTTTAGACACCTAAATGTAAATAATGTCAAACAAAACACTTCAGTAAATACATTTTCAAAGCAGTTTTCTCCTCAATTTTATCATGTCTGATTCCACCCGCTAGGTAGTTCTCCACTTATCAAACAATGTTACCAAGCTGGGAGAGTGAAGGCTAGCACCTGCTTTCTTCTGAGACACGTGAAACACCACTGCCTCATTTCAAAGTGCTTTGTCATTAAAAAAGCTTCTTATTTCTTTACAGGTGTTTCCCACTCAGTTTTGTGTAGAACTCTACTTTCACTCCCCTGACTCAACCTGCACTCACCTGACTCCCAATCAGCTGCTTCATTGTTTATTTTCTGCTTCTTTCTTTTCTGCGCTGCCTTCCGCTCCTGCAGAGACTCCTCCTCACGGGCTTTAGTCATGCGCTGTTTCACATTAGGAAGAAGAAAATATACACATTAACTTCAATTTGGGTTAATGGTAGAATTAGCATTCAATTTACTAGAGGCGTTAATTAAAGCAACTGAGTTTAGGCTTAATAAAGGGCAGATTAATGTTCTTTTCAATGTTAGGGTTATTTATCATATTTAGCGTCAGGCTTAATGTTAGTGGTAATATCATTCCCCTCTACATGGCAGACTGTGGTTTGATATCTTGCTTGGGCAAACACACCACACTATACCAGTAGGAGTCCTTGGGCAAGACTCCTAAAGCTACATTCTCCTTCCTCTGTAACATGATTCAACTCTAGCTCTGGATAAGAGCATCTGCCAAATGCACAAATGTAAATGTAAAGATAGATTTACCTCAACCTCCATGATGACCAAACCCACGAACATGTTGAAGAAAATGAAGTGGCCTATCAGTATGAAGATGATGAGGAAGAGCCGACTGTAGGTCACTCCTGAACTATCTACTTTCTTCAGCAGATCCACCCAGCCGTCCAGCTAAAATAGAACAACAAAAACGACATGCAGTCAATTATCATGTTTGCTATTGCGAAAACTTTATCGCAGGAAACAGAAAGCAGGGATGGACATTTACAGGGTGATTAGATTGGAAGGAGGAGGAGTTTCATTCTAGAAAATGTGAATGGGGTGAACATTCTAGAACAATCTGAGTGGGGAAGATCACTTTAGAACAATGTGACAGCAGAAGAAACCTGCACGACACTGTGAATGGGAAAGAACATTCTAGAAGAGAGTGAATAGGGTGAACATTCTAGAACAGAGTGAATGAGTGAATGGAGAGGTCATTCTAGAACAGTGTAAGGGGGGTGTTGCTGCTGATTGTTGATGTTTGTTTTCATATGTTTGTGTTTATTGAGGATTGTTTATATCAAATGTAAACAGTTTGTTTTTACAAGCTTTAGATGTTTATATTTTCTACATATACATTATGTGTGATTGCAGATGCTTGTGTACAACTCACTGTTACTAAGCCAAAGATGGTGAGCAGGGCGGACCCCAAATCCCCCCAGTGCTCGAGGTCCCCTGAAGCCTGCTCTCCGAAATAGAGAACTCCAGCAACAGCAAAGATGAACATGAAGAACACCAAACTCATCACATACACAGCTCTCTTCATGGCTTTAGCCAGCATCACAACCAGAGCCTGCAAAATAGCACGAAACAGACGAAAACAGTTATAAAAACAAAATCTTCTCATATGTTCATATTTAAACATCACACGTGAGCTAAATTTTTATTTTCAGGCATCTTAACAATTTCCTTTTACAGGTTTTCACTTAAGAACAATTCTAAGAACAGGTGCTATTCTTGAACAGACTGGTTCTTAAATATTTCCCTAATCTTGCAGAACCTTCATGCGTGTTTTACACAGAAAGAGTTGATAGGGTAAAGCCATGTCATGGTAATTCCCAAAATTCTCTCGTATAACGTGTATTGTAGGTACTACTAACGCGTTTACGCAATGTGTGTTTGGCTTGGGGTTGGGAAAATGTAAAATTTCAGTTTACCGGTTAAAAATCTTTCCAGTTGAGAGTAATGATGTGAGCTCATTTTCTTTTCCAGACTGGTCATCCTATGTTGTGCTGCAAACTGGATCACATGCCCATCTTGCGTTTGTGATTTAATGTAGAGCTAAAGCAGGATTTCCGCCTCAGCAAAAGAGCCATGCATGGTCTGCAGGGGCTCCTACAAAGGGAACAGGACCACACCAATCTGCCTAGTCACACCTTACAAGGAGCCAGTTAATGGACCAATACAAAGGCGCTTCAATTATTACCATTCTAGGGGACGCAGCATAATTGAAAGGGCTTTTGGAATGATGAAGACTAGATGGAGGTCTACCCTTTTCAGAGCCTTGGAGGTTAAACCTTCATTCGCACCACTGGTTATTGCGTCCTGTGCGTTTCTACACAATGTGTGTGTGGATAATGGGGACATTCTGGAGCCAGATGATGATGATGTTGCACAGGACAACCTTTAGCCCCAACCACCCTGTGAGCCCCTAGCATATAATGAGAGCTTTGGGAATGCTACAAGGGACAGACTGGCTGCCCTGGTCTAATGCCATGTTCAAGCCCCATAAGGATGCTGGCTGCGATCCAGAAATTGATAAGTGTATATAGTTTTTTTTTTTATGTTAACTATGTTTACACTGTTTTAAAATGATTATTTGGCAAGTTCAGTTTTTTGTTTGATAAATACAGATGCTGACAAGATAGCTCAGGGATGTGTACAAGTTATTTATCCAGTATTATTTTTTCTAATAAATAATGTCATATTAATATCGGTTTCAGTAATATTCACATTCAGCATCACATTTAAATGCATGTCCATTGGCACATTATTGTCACCTAATAAACTTTAAAATAACAATAAAAAAAAGTACAAAAATAAAACAGTGAGCTACATTTTCAATTGGTACATTCCTATCGCCTAACAATATTATAATATCAGCCAGTTGGCACATTCTTGTCACCTACCAAACATTTTTTTTTAAGTGTAAAAATAGAACATGGAGCTATTTTCAATAGTTGTATTCTTATTGCTTAACAATATTATAATAAGAGCCAGTTGTGCTTCTGAGGTTACTGACATCTGAATAGTGCAATCACAATGTAAACAAATTAACCATCACAAACAGGAACCTGTGTGATGCTAGAGGAAAAAGTATTGCACATTACAAACAAGCCAACACTAAATCATATTTTATCAATTAGTCTCTCAAACAGGCCCAAGCACCGCTCTGTTTTCACCTCACTCTCCTCATGGCGCTTCTGCTCTTGGTGAAGGGGTTGGGGGGCTTGGGGCCATAGGAGAGGCTACTGATGTACTGGCTGTCATGGAAGAGGGGCTTGAGGTGGTGCTGGCACTCGTGGCCTCGACCATCTCCAGAAAGGGAACAAAAATTAGACGGAATTATATTGCAGAAATGGGTGATATGGCAATGTGGTATGTACAATATAAACGCTACGTTCAAAATATATTTCTAAAAATAAAAAAGACACTAGTTTATCATCAATATCACATTAGATACATTACCAATAACATACATTATACATTACAATGTATATCATCAATAACATTCCAGGCTACATAGCATTGTTTAAAAGATTAATAATGCATTACATCGTAAATGTCATTGAAGCTAATCTTTAAACCTTACCTTAAGTATTGTTGTGGGATCAGCATCAGGACCAAAAAATACGACCACAACAGGAGGGTCCATTGAAGGCCTGGCACCCAGCACCTCATGCATGTCTTCAAAAAACTGCAATGTGGCAGCTGTTACTTCACCAGCATCTGTTCCAGACCCTGCTTTGGGAGTTTTCAGGTCCTGAAATAAACGCATAAATGCAGTATTACTCAACAAAGAAAATAATCAGAAATATTGCTTTATGGCCTTTTACAGTACACTCTTAAAAATAATGGTTCTTTAGTAAAGATTGTGGTTCTGTATAGAACCATGAACACTCAAAGAACCCTTTGCATAGTTAATGGGTTCTTCAGACTGATGGAGAATGTGTTGTACATGGTTTTGTGTGGAACCTTTTTGAAAAGGATTCTATATAGTACGAAAAAGGTTACAAGCGAGACAAAAATGTTTAGCCTGTAACAATAGAAGAACCCTTTTCAAAAAGGTTCCACACAAAACCATGTACAACATATTCTCCATCAGTCTGAAGAACCTTTTAATCTTGCAAAGGCTGGACTTGCTGGGGAGTGATTCTGCCCTCAAGGCCAAGGTCTTTGATCAATGTCCTGTATCATAAAAAATATGAAGAGTAATATTAAAATGAAAAACAAGAACCAAAACAGATGTTTGCAGTGAAGCAGCTTTAAAACAAAAGACTCACGCCCAAAGTGGTTTTGCAGCACTTTTTGATTGAAGAAAATGCTTATTCTCTGCTCGGAACCGGATGAGCTCTCTGGTTTCCTGTGGAGTCCCTGGAAAGATAGAACATACACTGTAAAATCTGTGCAATTTACGGTAAAATACTGGCAGCTGTGGTTGCTAGAATTCCACTGTAAAAAGTAAGGTGACAATGTACAAGACATCTTGGTATGCTTTTTTGGCAACCATAAATTTCAGTTAAAAATTGCTGTTTGTTTACAGTAAATTACTATGAAAAAAAATCATATATAGTAAATCTGTTTACGGTAATATGCTCTAAAAATAACAGCTGTATTATAAATCTGTTTATGGTAAACAATTTTAAAAACAACAAATATTCTGTAAACATAATTACGGTCTATCTCAGTGACGGACACAGTAAAACTGTATTATATATTACAGTACTTTATTGTAAAGTTCAACTTTACAGTAAATTACCGGCAGCTGTGGTTGCCAGAATTTCACTGCAAAAAAAACAGTACAACACATAAGAGGTTATAGTTAGTTGGCATAGAATTTACAGTCAACTACTGTTTATGGTAAACTACAAAGGAAATAACAAATAAACAAAGGTACAGACTATTCCTGATAAATATTAAGAAACTGTTTTTACATTTACAGATTCTCTGTGAAAAACAAACTGAACTGATCTAATAACTTGTCCAGTACACTCACAAATTCGTGTTGAGATCTTGAAAAAAACCAGCATGTGTCCATATATAGGATAATCCATGGTGGAATGAATAAACCTCATGGAAACAAATAGCCACTTGACTGAAGAGGGTGTTCAACATGGGACAGACTCTCACATGGACATGATGTTCAAGAAACTGGAACTTAAGGCATGTATTGTCACCAGTTCTGCTTGAGGACTCACATGTTGCCCATCAGGTGTTTGTTCACTGTGGGCTGGCACCATCCTCTCTGTAGCCATAAAACAGAAAAAAAAGCAGTTAGATTGATGTAGTGCTTGAGCATGATGCCTACACAGAGATAAACTGACAGTTAACTGTTGTTAAGCTGAGCTCCCATGATGTATACGTAGGAGAAACCAGGAACCGTATTACAGAAACTTCTTACCTCTGAAATCTTTTTAGTCACTATGACAACTTCAGTTAGGACTGAATTTAGGATAAACCCCAACAGGGTCCAACTTCTGTTTAAGCATCCGTCTCTATCATTTTTAGGCAGCTGTGTCAGGCAGCAGAGTTCACTACTAGCATAATGACGCTACGTTTATTTCTAAGGTAAAACGCTGCTTTCACTTGTGAGATGTTTTCTTTTCTTTTTTTAAAAATCTCAGACACTGCAGACACGATCTCCACCGTCCCCTCATATTAACCTTCGTGTGTTAATGTTGATGATAAAATATTACAGTGATGGTGATGAATAATGAGAAATAATGAGGGGGCGCTCTCACAATATTCTTAACTTAGCACACAAGTTTTGTTTGACATTTTAACATCATGGTTGGTAGCTAAGTAACAGGCATAGCAATTGACTGTCAACTTCAACTGAGTAGGTTAAGATTTTGAGCCTATTCACAGCCCAGCCTCCACTACTCACCCTGTCTTTCCTTTTCCTCCATATCTACCTCCTTTATTTTTATTTTTTTGGTGAACACTAGGGATAGGTATCAAGAACCAGTATTAAATTGCTACCTGTTCCAGACTGGTCAGTAAGGGTAAGACCTTCAAAAGTGTTGGCTCACTTTACAAAATTTAATGATAATGCAGCTAAATGCAATACACCGGGTTATTTAGGTTCTGTCTGAAACTTAGTGGAGTTGAGGGTCTGGTCCATAACTGAAGCTTTTTATTTCAACTCTGCAAATCAGCATTTACAGCCAGGAAAACGAACAGCCTAAAGGCTAGAAACAAAAGCACCTGCCTTTTTTTTTCCTTTTCCCAAACTCCATTACCCCACCTGTATTCAGGATCTTCAACCTATAAGGCCCGGTGAAAGTGAAACTAAAGCAGCCAAAATTTAAAATTTCTCTTCCAAACGAATGACTGACTAAGTGTACTGCTTATGGTTGTTACTATTTTCAATTGCAGGGAGATGACCACAGCTTTTTCACATTTTTTTCAAGTTGTCAAAATTTCATATAATGTCTTTGCACCGAATTCCAGACAGTGGTATCAATAAGAGCGTTGATAAGTATTAATAAGCAGTATCAGTATAGTCCTAATCAGGGGTGTAAAAAGTACTGAAAATCCCTACACAAGTACAAGTACTGTTACTATAGTGATAAATTACTCAAGTACAAGTAAAAGTATTAGTAAATAAAATTACTCAAGTAAGAGGAAATAAGTAGTTTGTTGAAAAACTACTTAAGTACTGAGTTACTTAGTTACTTCTTGGTATTTCCGCTGTCACAACCTGAACATATTTCTGAGCTACTCGGCTTCATCACTGAAAATAAACTGTACAGAAAAACACTAAAGCTAAAGTTCTGACTGATCACAGTCTGCTCTGCTAGAGCACATCTACACACCTTTCTGTGAACTGTGTAAGGAACAAGAGAGGAAGAGAGAGAGAGACAGAGGAGAAGAGAGGGTGGGCAAGAGAGACAGAAAGAGAGAGACGGGGAGAAAGAGAGAAAGAGGGGATAAGAGAACATGTTTTATGTTTTATTTTTTATGCCCAACTATTCTTGGGCCCTTACAGTAAATATGGACAAAACAAAAATAATGATTTTTCAAAATAAAGTCAGATTACAGGAGAAGAAATACCAGTTTACTTTCGAAGACACAGTAAGGAAAGCAGGAAATTTTAAATCAGCGATTACAGCACTGACAGAAAAAGCTCACAGATCTTACTACATGATTAGAAAAACAATTTCCAAATTCAGCCCCCCCCCCGTTGCAATCTGGTTAAAATTATTTAAATCAGTAACTGAACCAATAATGTTATATGGCAGTGAAATCTGGGGACTAGAAAGAACAAAAAATAACGAAATTTGGGACAAAACACCCACAGAACTATTTCATCTTGAATTTTGCAAAGACGTCCTGCAGGTGAACAGAGGTGTCTCTAATCTGGCCTGCAGAGCTGGGCAGGTTTCCGCTCATTCTAGACATCCAGAAAAGATGCTGTTACGAAATGCTTGATCGGAAATACTCAAAACACTTAGCCAATTATCTAATCAGGATCAAAGATAACAAACAAAGACAAACACTAACAAAGTACAGACTGAGTGACCATAAACTGGCCAATGAAACAGGGAGGCACAGGAATTGCAGGCTGGACAGAGAGGACAGGATCTGCACCCACTGCCTATCAGGAGAGATAGAAACTGAGAATCACTTCCTTCTTTCATGTTTAAAATATAAAACCATCAGAGATTCTTTTCTGCCCAAATTTACTAATAAAACCCCCTCCTTCCCAAACTGACCGACTCAGAGAAAATGAAGATTATACTGGGAGAAAATGTAGAAACAATAAGTTTAGCCAGACAGTTTATTCAGAACTGCCACAAGATCAGAGAAGAAAATGTAACATAGCACATCTTCAGTTATGTAATTAATATTTCTAATTCCTGATGTTCAAACATATTACATTTTTCATATGTACCTTGTTTGTTTTATGTATTTATTTTTAATTATTATTATTATTATTATTATTAATAGCGGTAATGGTAGAATTTTACTTTATTTTATTATATTTTATTACATTTGGCATGTCCATACTCATTCTATGCTTATATGTATTACCATATTTATTTATTTTTTCTATTTATTTTTTTATTTTTTTCCTATTCATTTATATTTTAATAATAATTCAATTTAAGCTGTATTTACAGCTTTGGCAACATAGGTCTTATATCCTGTCATGCCAGTAAAGCATATTTGATTTGATTTGAGAGACAGAGAGGAGGAAAGAGAGAGAGAGAGGGGCAGGAGAGAGAAAGAGAGAGGAGGAGGAGTGGAAGGGGGGGCAAGAGAGACAGAAAGAGAGAGATGGGGGAGGAAGAGAGAGAAAGCGAGAGGATAAGAGAGAGACAGGGGAGAGAGAGAGAGGGGGCAAGAGAGACAGAAAGAGAGAGATGGGGGTGGAAGAGAGAAAAAGAGAGGATAGAGAGAGATAGAGGGGGAGAGGGAGAGAGAGAGAGAGAGGGGGGAGAGGCAGAAAGAGACAGAGGAGGCAGAAGAGAGACAGAGGAGGAAGAGAAAGAGAGAGGATAAGAGAGAGAAAGAGGGGGAGACAGAGAGAGACAGAGACAGAGGGGGAGAGAGAGAGTGGGGCAAGAGAGACAGAAAGAGAGAGAGGAGGAGGAAGAGAGAGAGAGAGAGAGACAGAAAGAGAGAGACGGGGAGGAAGAGAGAGAGAGAGAGAGAGAGAGAGAGAGAGAGAGAGAGAGAGAGAGAGAGAGAGATAGAGACCGGGGTGGTATCAGATCAGGCTGTGCAGAGGTTATGAAGAACATGTATTAGACTAAATTTCAATCTCAGCCGTTCACGACAGTTTATCTCCAAAATAGCAGCTAAACTAGGCTGTATAAACGGGTAAACTTTAGCCTGTGGGCGACACCTGTCAACTAAAGTAGCTAACAGACACTTGTAATAAAATATATGCAACAGATTTTAAGTTTAATAAACAGAAGCGTTACAAAAGAAAAAAGAAACCCGTAAACACGGTACCTGTTTAGCTCGGCTACTGCTGCCTCAGGCTGGAGTCGAGTTGTGAAAGCGGATCTCAGCAGATTTTGTGTTTGGTCGCTGATAATAACGGCGTTTTCTTTACTTCATGTGAAAATGAATACAGAAGACCTTTTGGACGCGGCCTTTTTCTCGTGTGTGCTGCTTAAATCCTCTTCTGTCCTTCTCCACTTAACTGGACATATCTGTAGTGTTTTTCTTGCTGGAGCTGCTGTTTCTTGATTGGTGAATCAATTTAACCACGCTTTAACCACGCTCAATTTAACCACGCTTTTTTATTATTGGGTGATAAGCTGATACGCTCATCATTTATTTTTACTCTGTAACATTATGAAAATTAAAGTAGCAAAGTAAAAGTATTTTATTAAAAATGATCTCAAGTAACAGTAAAAGTACTACGATTTAATTCTACTCCAGAAAGTACAGTTACAGGGAAAACTGTACTCAATTACAGTAACGAGAGCATATGTAATTCGTTACTTACACCTCTGATCCTAATGATACCTATGCCTAGTGACCACTGTGTTTCGTGATCATGGCTAAAAAATTCAGTTGGGGAAAGGAAGTGTCGTTTGTTACCATTTTTAGCAAGGTCAAAGAAAGTGTGGTTAACGTTTAAGTTAATGTTTTGTCTAATTAAATATCTCTGAGACACTATGGGACAATGTTTGTGTCCCAGCCGTTTGTGGCTGTCAATACAGCCGAATGAAGATGAAATTACAACTGGCCTCTCAATGCTACAAGCACAAAAAGCACAGAGCTTCAGCAGACATGGGACTGTGGCTTCATAATGACTTTAAAAAAAGCCCAGTTGTGAGCGCTGAAATCTGTGTCTATTCAATGCAACCGACCCAGGCTCAACATTTTAATGTCTGTCAGCCATCGATGACGGACGATGGCATCGTACATCAGCCCAACCCTAGTAAGTCGATGGGGTGAAACAAATGCTGATGATGGCTTAGTGTGGAAATGCATCAGTTTCTACCTGTCACCCTGATACTCTATTAATTATTAAAGTGATCTGCAATACTACATTCCAGAGTGTTGGTTTCTTGTATGTAGAGTTGTGCTTGCATCCACCTACCCTTTGCTACACTGAACTATATCACCGCTTACCTCTAATTACCCTTGACAAGACTGGTGTCCAAGACGTTGGGTTCAGACTTGAATGCAGAGCGGTGGGATAGAGTCCAATACAGTCAGGGTATGATGTTCAGAAAACGGGAGCTTTGAGCAGGTGCTGTCATCATCATCACAACTTGTCAGTCAGGTGTTTGCTGTGGACTGGCGAGGATCCTCTCTGCAGCCAGAAAAAGATAACAAAGAAAACAACAAAGAAAACATTAACAACAACAATAATAATACAACCCCTTTTCCAAAAAATTTCAGATGCTGTACAAAATGTGAATAAAAACAGAATGCAGGTTTTCACCTGGGGTCTCCACAGTTTCTCCCTCAATCTCCCTACCTCCTTTTTCATCCCAGAGGATGCAGCATCCATGATTTCTAAAAGGAATTTCTTAAATGAGCTTGGCCTGAGAGAAGTTGGTGGCATTTATGATCCTGTTTACATATGGTTTATCATTTGCACAGTAGAGATTTTCCTTGGGGGAAAAAAAAATCAAACAAACATTTAAGGGCAACACTAGTTCAGAAGTCTATCAATTAAATGTACTCACTCGATGCTGAGCGTTGATAACGCTGATGACAAATCAAAGTGCTCGCACATTCCTGCAAAGTTGACATCCTCGCCTTTTTTCCAGCTGCACCGTGCTGAGGAGAAAGTTAAATGATTTTGTGGTGCATGGCTAGGACGTTCATGAGATGAATCATCAACATAAAAGCTGCAATCTATTGAAAAATACAACATTAAAAGGGACAGAACCGAGGTGGTTCTTATTAAACATTGCAATGCCCCCATCACAGCCTGTGGACCTCAGGTCACTTTGGGCCAAGTCTCCATAAGGAACGAAATATGTGTATTCTGGTAGTTAATAAAATCACTAAGGATAAAATATTTATTAAACAGTGATCAAAACAACTGAAGAGAGAGACTTGGATGGCTGAGATTCGCAAGAAGTTCAAATCACATTAGATTATGTAATGCCTATATTTATGCAGTGCTTTACGTCAACAATTACATATACTGTTTGAACGTGAAATGGCTACACAGTGCTTGCAAAAAGAGGTGGGCCTAAAGCCTTCTGTTGTTAAATTAATGTACACTGAACTGGTATCTGATGAGAAGCGCAGAATGGTAGGACAGAGGTTGACGAAATCCATGTCAAGTACAACCACTGGTAGACGTAATAAGCCCTGAAAGAAAGAGTAAGGAGATAAAAGATAGGAGGACATACATCCTCTTAAGTGAAAGATGAAATCATCTCACCCATGAACTATTCTCTTTTTTCAATGCACAGGTTGCAAATTACAATCAAATGGCTAAGCTCACACCCAAAAACAGCCAGGCCTCCCAAGTGGCTTACCTGGTAGAACACATACATATTGTTATTGCAGCATCCAAGGTTCCATTCCAGCTTGGGCCCTTTTCTGCATATCATCCCCTCTCTCCGCTGTGTTTCCTGTCTATTACTACTGCATCTGTCCAATAAAGCAGAAATGCCAAACAAATCATCTTTGAAAGTTAAAAGCAAAAACAGCTCGCTTTTGATATTTAAATGTATTAGAATCTCACCGTTTCCCTGGTTGCCACAAAGGCCAGCAAGTGGTTCCTTCCAAGCCTATAACCGCTCATAAGAGTATGAATGCAATGCATGAAAGGTGGCAAGAGCGAAAGGCTTATTCTTACTTGTAATAAACAGAATTTATACAAGAGCAGTGTGTATAGATAATTAAGACATTTTACTCTTAAAATGTTAAAACATTTGTTAGACGTGCTCAGTTTACTTACCTTAGAGGAGATTATTAAATCTTAGCAATGCCAGCATCCTTCAACCTACTCTGGAGTGTCACAAAAGCACTGAAACTAAGGCTCAAGTGGTCTTCAGAGACCGTTTTATTCACTTCAATGCATTGTTAGCCAATAAGCTCTGCAAACTCCCTGCATGGGTCACAGACTATTTCAAATAAAAAAGTGACCAAACCTTCTGAAAAGTTGCTTCTGGCAATAGCCAAAATTGGGAAACTCCCTGTATGTACTGTAAAATCTTAAAGAACTAAATTACTGTTTGCCAAACAGTAATTGTACAATAAGCCAGTTCACATAAATTTAACAGAACCAAACACTGCTTATTAAAACACTAAAGCTAACTAAAAACATCAAAGAACACTATTCTGAATGTCAACAGTTAACAGTGTATATTGTTCCGTACAGCTAGAACTGTATAAGAGTTCAGTGGGATAAATCCATCCTTAACATGTCCCTCTCCACTCGTGATCAGAGAGATCTGCGATGAGGGTGAGGACTGACAGTTTTTTCTTGTTTTTCCTTGTTTCAATTTTTGTGCCCCTCTCTGGAGTGATGTTGAAGAAACACAAGAATTTATAATCAACCACAATATACAGTGATTTGCTCTAAAGGAGCAGATTTAACTAACTAACCAAAAGTGGTCTTAAAAGATGCTAGTTGTGTTTCTTCCCCATCCAGTGGTATTTTCTCCTCTATATGAGTGTAGTTTGACCTGTCGGCTGTCCTTTCCTGTGGTGAGAACAAGTGCTTCACCAGGACTGCTATTCTCCAAAATGAATGAAGTGGAACTGGACCTGCGAACACCACAGATCAAATTCTAACAAGCATTTCAAAGTCTCTCTCACAGGCACATAATAGGCAAACAGATCTGTGCTGATCTCATCTCTTCCTAAAAACATTTTCTTAGGCTCCACATAGTTGAGCATTTTTTTGTAAGACTGAGCTCTTGAGAATGCTGTCCTCATTGACCCTGCATGACATGTAGAGAACAGATCAAATCCCTGGACAGACTCACAAACCTTGGTGATGTCCTCATCTGATAATGTGTCATTTTTCAGCAGTGAAGTAAGTTTACTCTAAGTATATGTCTGACCCAACTCATGTATGTTTTGCATCTCCTCAACGATGTTCTGTATGGTCGCAGCAGGTAGAAGAAACTGCCCCTGCAATTTTAAGTAAAATAAGCCAACGTTTCTAAGAAAAAGATCGCTGAAATTTTCTGACATATCCATTTGACTTTCATCTGTACCTGTCTCATACACTTGATGGTCAAAGTCTACTCTTTCAGTTGGAACGCGTGATGACTGAGAAGCAGATTCTTTGTATAAGTCACTAACGCTGCTCTCTGCAAAATCTCTGTGCTAACACAGATGATGTTAGACAAAAGTCAACTCCCTCAATTTGTAAGATAGTTAGCTAGTTAACGATAAGTTAACTTACCATTCAATAACCAAATAGTTTTTTCAAGGACAACACAAAACTGCAAAAAAGGCCGTGTTAAAATCAACATTAACACTAGCCAGCTGGCTAGTTAGCTAAGATAACTGTGGCTAACATTAGGTAAGTTACTTATCCTGACCTAGCTAGCAAACTTAAGGTAATATTAACGTAAAGTTATTACAAACCCAAACAAACCTTCGAGAAAGCTTTTACTCTCAGACTGGAACAATTTCTGTTGACGTGCTTACCTCAAGAACATTTTTTTTTTAAGCCCAGGAGACAGGACGTTGTGCCATCAATGTTACCAGCATAATCCCCAAGGAACAGCAAAGGTGCGCTGAAATGGCAGTAATTGCTTGATGATGGGGTATCGTAGGCTGAAAAATAAAATGTAAACCCATGCTTTGGGGTTTTTGTTCTGTAAAAAACATTATTAATTATAATGCACATCAATTTTATAATTTTCGTTTAAACTGTGTATTTTGATTATGTTGGGGAGCCACATTTTATTGTATATAACTGAAATAAAGAAGAAAAAATAATAGTATGGAAAATTAAATCTGTGTTGTTACAAAATCACAATACAAAAGACTATCTATATTCTTATCACATCAGTAAAGGTATGCCTTATTAGTTATGTTAATTAGGGTAACTGCTGCAATCATCTAATGTCTTGTGTTCTTATAACAACCTTCTAACTCCCTAGCAACCAACTAGCATACCTAGCAACCACCTATAAACACTATAGCAACCACCAAGAACACCCTAGCAACTGCCTATAATCACCCAAGCAAACACCCAAAACACCCTAGCAACCACCTACAGACACCCCAGTAACCACTCAGTACATTCTATCATGTAGAAACACCCTGACAACGACCACGTACATCATAGCAACCGCTAAGTACACCGTAGCAATACCCTAGCAACGCCCAGTATGCTATAGCAGCCACCCGGAACACACATAGCAATCACCAAGCACTAACAATCACCTAGAAAAACCAGCCATAAACCATAAACACCCTATCAGCTATGTAGAACATCCCAGCAGTCACCTAGAAACACCCTAACAACCATCTATAACCACACTAGCAGCCATCTTGCACTCTCTTACAACCACCTAGTACTCCTTGGCAACCAAATACTTCACCTTAGCAACAACCTAGAAACACCCCAGCAGCCATCTTAGTTGTCACATCTTAGTTTATAGCCTGGAACAGCCTTGCAACCACCAAGTGCACCCTTGCAGCCACCTACAAAGACCTTAGCAACTGGCTACCCAGATAGCAAGCACATATCGGTCTGCTGGTTTGATAAGACATCCCGCTGACTGCTTGCCACTGCTGCTCCACCCTCAGACGACCCAGATTTTTGTCCTGCATACAAGCTCTACCTACGTTTTAATCTCCCCAAACAGATTTTAAACGCACAGAGCTAAGAGAAACAACTAAGAGGAAAAATAATGACTAGGCCTGACATAAAATGATTTTATAGAAAATGTTTTTGCTGACTCTGTGCTAAATTAAAATTATTTACTTAACTAGTTTACAAAGTATAACTAAAGAAAAGAAGGAGGAAAAAAATAAGTAAATAGGACTGTGAGTGGAAAATGAGCGATAGCGAGTAGAATTTTTTCTATTACTCTGCTTAAACACCACAACAAAACGTCAGTGGACCACCAGCTTTGCCAGCAGTGGGCCAACAGTAGTCCTCTATCCTCTTGCTCTCAGGGTAGTACACACTAGCAACCACCTACACTTTAGATACCACCTACACCTTAGCAACCACATGGTACATGCTAGCAACCACCTAGTTCACCTTATCAAACAGAACACCCCAGCAGCCACCTTGTGCATCTTCGTAACCAACTAAAACGCCTCACCAATCACCTAGACCACCATAGCAAACATAGCACACCTACAAACACCTTAGCAACCATCTAAAAACACCCTTACAACCACCTAGTAAACCCTGGCAACCACCAACGATTGCTAGCATTGCTGCTCAGCAATCAGTTGAATTTCGTCAAGAAATACATCTTTCTGGTAATGTTTTAGTTTTTCATTGCACATAACACATTAACTGTCAGATCGAACCCATATTTACAAGGATATCACCTAAAATTACAGTAAATTACAGTATATTTAAACATGTTTTACTGTGAAATAAACATTATTCAACATACACCATATTTTTAACATCTTGTTTCTATAGAAATGCAAGTATAATGAAAGCTGAATGGTGGAAGGTTTTAGACTGTAAATTTAAATGTATACATCAGCAAAATCCGTAGTTTATGCAGAGAAATATCGTTACGTTTAGAGTAATTACTTACTAGTGGCTTTATGGTATTTCCCATTAATTTTACCAAAATTTTATATTTTCACAGTAAAATTGTGCATTTTCTACATATTACGACACGGAAAATTAAAGTAACGTAGTGTTTCTTGATTTAGGGTAAGCCATTGTAACCACTACGGTGATATACTATTTTGGATTTCATGGTCTTTTACTGTTGCCAATTGATAGTTTTTTACTGTAATATCTATGGACATTTTTTACAGTGGAGGTATGTCATTGTAACATTGTTAAGATTTCAAATAAACCAATACTATTTCTTGCAGTCACTAAGGTGAAAAACCCAGAATGTTCGAATAACAATCATGCTAATTTTGTTGGGCATGACAGGACAGGTGTATCACATTTAAAATAGCCTGGAAAAAATAATCAGGACGTGTTTTCCTGCTTCGTCTCCATACTATGGCAATAATGATATATCAAACCGACATTTGCCATTTATCCAAAGGAGACTGAAAAGCATTGGCGCTCACGATTCATTCACAACTTCAGTTTTATGCATCAATCAATCAATCTAACCAGTCACCGAATAAAAAAGAGCACAAACAAAAAACTACATTACTTCATTAACAGGCTACTAGCGCTGCTCTGTAGGCAACCTGCCAGTCTGCAGTGATAGCAGAGGAGGGTAAAGTTCAGCAACCTCGCTGCTTAGTTACATTTAGGGCATCATATGCCTTCAAAGAGGGGGGATGACAATTATTTATTATTGCCACCAAGAATTCTTCAGCGATACGAAGCAGAACTTAGCTTTTTAATCGCCAGCAAGGGGTGAAATGGGATTGGGCCTAACTCTATTTTTACAGTGTACTCACCTGGAACACTCCTGAGTTACTGTACTCTTCCTCCGGGGTGACGGTGAATGTGTTCATGAATCGGGACATTCATGAACAAGAATCGGGACAACCCTATCCCTAGATGTAAACGCACAAAACAGAGGGGTAGGGCTAAGTGTTAGGGGCAAGGGGTGAAATGGGATTGGGCCTAACTCTTTTTTTTTACAGTGTACTCACCTGGAACACTCCTGAGTTACTGTACTCTTCCTCCGGGGCGACGGTGAATGTGTTCATGAATCGGGACATTCATGAACAAGAATCGGGACAACCCTATCCCTAGACGCAAACGCACAAAACGGAGGGGTAGGGCTAAGTGTTAGGGGCAAGGGGTGAAATGGGATTGGGCCTAACTCTTTTTTTACAGTGTACTCACCCAGAACACTCCTGAATCACTGTACTCTTCCTCCAGGGCGATGATGAATGTGTTAATGATGAACACAATGAACACATTAAATAAAGAGTGCTGAATGATGGAGGAAATGAAGGAGTGAAACTGCCCATCTCTCCTCCTGCACACAAACAACAAACACAAAAGAGTCACTGTTACTTTTCTTCAACTCAAATACACTTTTACACATTTACACTTGCATTACTATTTATGGTCTTTAGTTTTGAGTTTTTCTGCCAGATCCCAGCTAACAAAATTACGTTCTCAGAATCTTCCCCTAACATTCTATTTTGGTTGTGGGAACGTTGCACTGGAATCTTCCCTCAACGTAATTTTGTCCAGTTTTCTTAATGTTCTCAGAACGGTCCTAGAACACCACCTCAACCTTATTTGCAACCATTTAAAATTCTAGGAACGTTCTGACAACGTTCAAAATTATTTTTTCTAAACGTTCCTCTAACATTCCTTTTTGGTTGTATGAACGTTTTATTGAAACGTTCCCTCAATGTTATTCTGTCCAGTTTTCTAAATGTTCTCAAAACGTTTTTCTTAATTTATGTGAACGTTCCAGAATGTCACCTCAACCTCATTTGCAACAATAGTTTAACGATCTAGGAACGTTCTACTGGAACCTTCTGAGAACATTCAAAATTATGTTCTCTGAATGTTCCTCTAACATTCCATTTTGGTTGTATGAATGTGTTATAGGAATGTTCCCCCATGAATCTGTCCAGTTTTATTAACATTCCCAAAACATTCAAGTTACAAGAATGTTCTCTAAACATCAACCCAAACTCATTGGCAACAATTTAACGTTCTAGGAATGTGGTCTGAGAACCTGAAAACATTCCTGTAACATTCTATTATGGTTGTGAGAATGATGCTAAACTTAAAAAGGGCCATTTTTATGTTTCCATAACATCTTTCTTAAATCCACTGCCCCAGAATATTACCTCAACTTTACATACACTGACCACTGAACATTCCTGGAATGTTATCTTTAAACGTTCTTCAAAGGTTTATAGTTCCAGTTTTCTTAATTTTCTTAGGATGTTCGGTGCAAGTTAGTAGAACATAAAGTTAGTAGAACCCTAAAACATCTTCCTAATATTTTTGTGCAGCCAGCAGTACTCAGCATCAAAAGTTTAGATTTTTTAATGTTACTTTAACATTTCATTAACATTTTCTCAGTCTAGTTAAGGTTAATCCCTCCGAGTCTTGATTTCCTTCCCTCCATCCACATTCCCGTTCATTGCTGATTGTCTAATTCAAACAATCCCCACTACTATAATAATACTGACATAAACTAGGGCAAAATCAATGCAAGCATAATGTGTTTAATAAATGTTTATTATTGTTGCTAATATTATTAATCAATTCAAGTGAATGAACAAAAAATGAAAAGTCAAGAAATCCATTAGGGCGTCTCTGTATTCTCCACCTGCAAAGTAAACAAATTGGTTTATTTCACATTTATCAGTTCATGTAAAGCATTGTTACACTCTATCCAGGCCATTCTGGGCAGCTAAACACGAAGCTTTCTTGAAGTTACGTTGCAGTCTTTGATTTATAAGTCAAATGTGCAAGAGGCGCCTGTGGCTCTTCTTTTTTTTAAGGCTAAATTCCTCGCATGTGATAGGATTTAAATAATGTTGATAAGTACTGAGGGCCTTCTTAGTTTCAAGGTGTTTAATCAGCCTGTATAGCGGCCTTAAAGTTAAGAGTATAAAATATAAGGTTTGTGGAAAAGTACGGAGCCCCTTAGGGGTAATGCTTAAAAAAATAAAAAAACAGTACTGACATTGTGTTCCCCTGCAAATGTTTTGCCTTCTCTTGCAAAAAAATTCCAAGCCTAGTCGTGCTCTCTACGCTTGGATTTCATGGGTGCACCGTGGATTACAGCAGAACAGTACTGCAATGACCTGGAAGTGTCTTTCTCCTTCTTTCAGTATGCGACTCTCTTTCAATCCACATTTTGTAAGTGTAACTAAACACTGCTCCAAACACAGCAACAATCCGCCTTTTGACAGTGTTCAGAGTTTGGTTTTCATGTTTTTCCACAGTGAAAATCATGTTTCGTGAGGTATACAGCAGTATTTAATATGCCATAAAAAATTAAACAGCCAACTTAAATAAAACTCCAACTAGGAGTGCAATGATTATTTGAGTTAGTAGACTAAAACTGACGATCAAATTAGTTGGCAACTAATTTAATAGTCCATTAGTTGGTGGCGTCATTACGCCTCTTTCTCGCGCTCACTAGGAACATTTTGACATTAGCGCTTACTGAAGAGTGAACAAAAGCGTGATGTCAGTCTCAAGAACAAATTCCTTAAAAGTGTGCGAGCATTTCACGCTGTGCTTTTTGTAAAGCCGACCTTAGCTGGCACAGGAGCACATCCTCCATGTTGGAGCATCAGAAGAGGAAACTGATGAATCAGATTTACTCGATTGAGAGAAAACTGCTTTAGTTTTGTTATACGTTATTGCTGGTACTTTGCACATCCTTGGTTTTAAATTCTAAAAGGGAAAACGATATTGGAGTTTTATTTATATTTTGTATTTGCAGAAAAGTTCATTAAATTAGTAAATCTTTAAACAGGTTATGCGTCTTTATTGTTAGTTAACAAATGCATAAAACAAAAAAAGCCAAATTTAAAAGCTGACAGCTACATAAGTGTTATTTGGAAATATAGTAATTCATAATAATAATCGATTATTTGTTTCAGTAATCGATAGATTATTCGACTATCAAATTAGTCGTTTGTTGCAGCCCCAACTCCAACAAAGGACGAAAAGTACAGTTATCAGAAACCTCCACTGCAGTGTTTAAAAACACTTTCTAACATATAAGGTTATGAGCTACGTTTTATTTTGCTACTTAAATTCTGAACAAGACCTCTGCAATGCTTTGCAAAGCTAATTACATATATGCCCATGTTAAAAGTTTCAATAAACGTAAGGAATCAAACTGTTAGCAGAAAACTACACTGCATTGTTGAAGAACACATCGGGTACAAAGAGAATGCGATTCATGTAATTTCGCAGTCTGAATTTGATTTTGCGGTGGAGTTCCCTGTTAAAAGCTTTATTTAAATATTTTATGAAAACCTAAATACACCATGTAATAAAAATTGATTTATTCTGACATTTGGGAAGATGTTACTCGAAAACTGAAAACAGCAAAATTACACAAAACTTATTCCATGTGTATCTGGGGAGGTGTTTTTCAACAATGCACTGGAGTTCCCTGATAACATCTTGATTTCAATGTATTATAGAATTGTAAAAGCTGCCTTACTTTGAATGAAAGTGGATTTTTTCAGGATTTTGAGGAAAGATTATTTATTATTACCTAAATTCTTTGCAAAACTCAGGGGTTTAATGTAAATGTAGTCTGTAGTAGGGCTTCATCGATACCAATTACTTGTACTTTTACTCATACAAATTTACAGATACCAACATCTGGTACCAGCTGATACCATGTGACATAAGCATAGTATACGCTGCCCTGCTGATGAACAAATGACTCAAGCTGGCAGTGAAGAGGGTCTGCTTACACAGTGAAGTGTTATGGGCTATGTTTACACAGCAGATCATGACATCTTCAATTGACGCTGCTCTGCGGGGCTTAGATAGGCTTAATTTGTTTGTGTTTGTACCGTTATTTCGTCCTATTCCTCATGGTAAGAGAATTATAACGTTTGTAGAATGACTTGTAGTTAAACACGTTTTGAAGTATAAAATGTGTTGTTAGCACATCTTTTAATGCTCAAACACTACGTGGGTTATCTTTCTAATGCTAGCTTTGGCTCCATTTTCAACTACTCCGAGTAACATAGATTTATTGCGCCATTTCTGATTTAATTATTGTACATGCAGACACATTGTTGTTCAGACTTCAGTGATTTTTAAGGTGTATTTATGTCCCATATCCTCATCAATCTTGCTAAGTTGTGTAAATAGATTTGAAATATTTGTTGCTGAAATAAATAAACTGCATTACACAGCACAGTAATCAGTCAGTGTCATTATTGTTAGACTACTTATTTCAGTGCACCTAATAAATCTATGCTACTCGGAGTAGTTGAAAACGGAGCCAAAGCTAGCATTAGCAAGATAACCCACGTAGTGTTTGAGCATTAAAAGATGTGCTAACAACACATTTTATACTTCAAAACGTGTTTAACTACAAGTCATTCTACAAACGTTATAATTCTCTTACCATGAGGAATAGGACGAAATAACGGTACAAACACAAACGAATTAAGCCTATCTAAGCCCCGCAGAGCAGCGTCAATTGAAGACGTCATGATTTCGACATGCGCAATGAGGGGGAACAGGGGGAACTGAATTTACCGTAACACCGGAGTTAGCGCTGGGGATGAATTAGTTCCTGAAAGGGGAGCTACATCAGTAGTGTGGAAGTTTTTTGGATATAGAAGGTCAGACTCCAAACAAACGACTGCAATTTACAAAACGTGCAAAAATACTGTGACCACAAAAGGTGGCAACACATCAAATTTATTTCACCACATTTTCATTTCACCTTTCAGTCATTGCACGTGTCCGAGAATGAAGATGTGATATCAAAACGTTTGCTTGTTAACAAACAAGCTAAACCAAACGTAGTCACTCAAGCAACCACAGCTGGAGAATTTGCAAGCAGCACTCTGTATGACAAAGAAGCACACGGTGGAATGAAATTACTGAAGCAGTCACATTTTGGTTAGCAAAGGACATGACGCCTACCCAAACGGTGGAAAAGGAAGGATTTAAGTGTCTTGTTAGGAAGATGGACCCAAGGCACATCCCTTTGCCGCAACTGTATGGCGAATGCCATGCCAAGTTAGCCACTACATTAGCTTCAATAACATGTACTTCTTGTTGTAGTACAGCATTGTCACACAGACTGGGAAACAAAACCTCACTGCTGCAGGGGTTCAGTCCCGAAGTGGCATCTGGCAGCAGGAAGTGGCAACTCTGTCGTCCGGAAATGGCACGTACTGGCATGTGCCACTCAGCGAATGGTACCTGCCACCGATAACTGGTAACGAGTGGCACATGCGGCTCGTGCCGCTCGGTTAGTAGCACTCGCCAGTGGCACCTGCCACACAGAGAAAGGCACACACCAACAGCTCCTGTGAGTAAAGCAGTGATCCTGGACAGCGGTAACGCTATTTTGAATATAGACTCTTTGCGTGCTCTTGTTGTGGCGCATAGAGCTGAAGGAGTGCCTTCTGCCCAATGACAGCTGGGATAGGCTCCAGCACCCCACCACGACCCAGTAGGATAAGCGGTTTAGATGATGATGATTTTTTTCAGGAGTGGCACTAGCCATTTACTGAGGCGAGAGGCACTGGCATGTGCCACTCAGGAGTGGCAATCAGTAACACTACTAGCTGCTTATCACACAGTGGACAAAGTTCCAAGGTTTGAAAACAGTTATTGATTAGCCTGCATCACACAGGTGATAAATGCACCAGCTGAAAGTTTGATCTCAAACGTAAGCAACACTGGTCAATAATTTTATTCAGTAATTCTTGTGAATGTGTTCCTGTTACTAATTTCGGAGTACCTGAGCTATTTGGAAGTGGGCTGTTACATAACATTTACAGTTACAAAGCTACCTTGCCACATTTGCAAGTATTGTAGTGTTGCTCTAATGGTATATGGGGTATTTAAAGTTTGTGAATCATATGAGTAATCTTAAAGCATGTGCAATGTAAAATAAAAGGAACTGTACTGGTACATTTTTTTAGGTACAATGTAAATTTAACCAATTGTGAACCTTAAATATGCTTTTCCCAGGTAAAGGTTATATATTTGTTCATTTACATAATCTAAAACAGAACAATAAAATAAAAAAGCATGGAGACAAGACTGGGTATGTCGAGTCAATGTAGTTGCAATAGATTACGCTCCCCAAATAAAAGGTACTCAAGACGTACCTTGAGGGTACCACCCCTGTGACAGTTCAGTATAAACCCCTGTGTGTTTTAAACATTAAGTTATTCCCACTTTAACAGATGTAACGTTGAGAGCTCTTGACAGAATGAATATAGGTCAAAGGGGTAAGCAATCAATTTTCTGTCACATTTTGTGATAGTTTCCACTACTGACTCCCTTATGAACAGCATGAGGTGCTATTTTCAAAACTTAGCACTCGGTAACATGATAAGCAGACATACCAGCTTTCGTCTCAGTAAATGGCTAGTGCCACCCCTGAAAAAATAATACATAAAAACAAGAACACAAGCCTGCGTTCCTCTCGTCCTGTTTAATAAATACGCTGATAAATAGTCTATACATCGCATGAATAACACCACAATGAATTCAGTAATCATTTCGCTTAGAATCGTCCACCCAAGAGCACAACCAGTGAACCAACAAAATGACAGACTATCTGTACAAAGTCTTTAGGTCAACATTCCTCCATGACTCCACCATCTGCGTGGAACGTGAAAATTTGAACAAGAACGGCTTCTTCAAGATGACTTCCAGAACACGGTGGCATTTATTTTCGGGTCCATTCACTCAAGCTGAAGTACACGTGAAGTAACTAAAAGGCGAAGAGCCATGAGCGTAACAGAAAGAACTAACCAACAGCGCTCTCTCTCTCTCTCTCTCTCTCTCTCTCTCTCTCTCACACACGCACACAGAAAAAATGACAACTGGCGCGCGGCCGCACACATGAACGCGAACCCCTATTTCCCAACTTATTTACAAGCTGTTGAACTGTAAATTAGTCCTCTCTAATTCTCTCTCGGTTCTTTTTACAAAACAGCGATTATAACCTTTTACACATCGCCATCTTGTTACTTGTACATCATCGACAACATGTATTTATACAGCGTTAACCCTTTTGCCCAGGTCTGCTATCATCTAACCTTACTGAAACAGAAAACGGCGTTAATCAGCGTGTACTTTTACAGTAATAAAGCTTAAATTTGTTTCAGGGATGCTTGACAAGAGTAAACCTCACATTATCTCGCTTGTTGAGAATTTATACATTTTAATTAGTGTGTTCAAGATAAACTCCTGGGTCTGCAAGATTTACATTGGTTTGTTTACAAGGCTGAAATTGGCTCAAGTTACTTTTCACCAGCTTCTGGTTCAAATTTTCCAGTTCCACCTTTAATGGTGCAAATTATTTTAACACCTCAGGCGCCAGAACTGCTGCACCATTTAAGGTGGAACGGGAACATTTTAACACAAAGCTGGTGAATAACAAGCTTCAAGACTTCAGCTTTGTGGCTTATTTCATTTCACTGGTTTTTATCAATGCTAGCATATCTTAACATTAATCTATACATTTATTTTTTCCTCATTTATAAACATTTATCTCTGCATTTAATGTATCTTGACGATTTTGTTATTTCATTACATTACTAATTATGAGCTATTTTTGTATTACTAAGCATATTTAGCCCATCACTAACGTAAAGTTAGCAAGATAACTAACTTAATGTTGGCTAATATTAACCAACCTAAGTAGCTACATGAGCTAAATAGCTAATTTAGCTGTTAAATTGAAATCAATTAAAAGGTAGCTAACGTTAACTAACATACTAAATCCGTGAGACACCTTTATAGAATGCATTACAAGCCTTATATAAACCTTAAAACAAGCAACATTGCCAAAATAAAGTATTTTACTCTTCACTTCTTACCTTGTAGGTTAAGTGGACTGGCAGGTGCCCCTCTGGAATAAACCGGAGAAGACTGGCTGCAACTGGTTTAAACCGGTTAAGTCAGCTTATTTAACCGCCAAATCTCCGTCACCATGGCAACAGTACTCAAAACAGGCTGTGGAAAACTCGTTGTTTCTAGTAACAGGGGTTTGTGTTTAATGTAGTTTTTATTAAATGCAGTCAGAAAAAAAAAACTAAGAAAGGTAATAGCTTATCTTAAATATATTATTTAATTAAATATTATATTAATCAAAAAAGTCCAGTAGAACACAATGGATTCAGTTATCAACTGTGCACCTTATCATCTCAGAAAATGGATGTAAAACAGTTGACTAATGTTTCCTAACGTGTCTAAAGAACATTATACATACAGTCCTTGAAACTATTAAAAAACGTTGAAAGAACGTTCTATTGACGTTATTGTGAGAACGTTTGCTCCTAACATTAGGAGAACCTTTACGTAACGTTAGTCAAAGTTGTGGGAACGTTCCCTGTTAGCCGGGATGTTGTCGCATTAACTGCACAGCACAAAGAAGCCATTTTGACTGGTGTGATTAGCTGAGGCAGTTTCTCACACAGCGACCTTTTTCCTTTTTCTCTCTCATTCATGAATGAATAAACCACATTAAAAGTAGAAATCAATAAAAACACTTACCGTCTCCTGAACGACGGTTTTCCCCAAGTTTACTTCTCGGTTTTCCTCCGCCGACAAATATATACGGTCAGAGCGGCTGGTGGTGACGTCATAAAGGGGCGGTGCTAATTTGCATCATGTGGCCTAATTTGGCGCTTTATTCCTGAGCTTTGCGCCAACAGCAGAGCAAGAAGAGCAAATTTGTCGTTGATGCTGTTACTCAGATACTTCAGAGAAACGATTGCAGGATCGGTTAAAGCAAAATACCCTTCTGGGCTCACAGTTTCATTTCAAGATATAAAATATGGGGCATCCAAAGAAAAGACTTTGTTCCTTTTTATTAAAACAATAATTGTCCTTTCGGGTAGTAGAAATGCAGAGTTTTTGGTGTCAGGTTCACGATTGTATTGAGAGGATAACAGACCATCGATTTCCTTTTACTCCACAGTTATATATTTTAAGCGACCCCTAACCTACCACGACCCTGCTGAGGGCAGACGAGGCAGATCTCCCCGTCAATTCGCACTGCTTTGATGGCAGGAAGGAGGCTTTTGGTGCAAGACTGGCGGTCAGTCAGAGCTCCTTCTCTAGAAGAGTGGCACCTCTTATCAGACAGAGTGCCAACCCATGAAAAATGATCTTACAGTCTAATTAACAAAGCAGAACCGCACTCAGAAAAATGGAATAACTACCTGAAATACATTGAAGTCCCATAGGATCAGGATCAGAAGATTTCCCCACGTGTTACACTTTTGACATATTTATTTTCATCCACTGTTTATTAATTAATTAATGCATTCAATTATTTGTGCTTTTGTCAATATGCATGAAAATTAACTGTAGGTCAGAATGCAGAGGTAGAATTTAAAATGCACAGTATAGTTATTAAACTACAATAAATGAACTATAATAAATATGTAGGTTTGTGCGATTCACAGCTTAAATGTTTACAGTGTATACTAATTTGAAGTGTGCAGTATTTTGAGCAGATTATAAGAAGGGCTTGTAAACAGCATCACAGATGTTATATTCACAAAGTGTTAGATGCAGGTAAATGAGCATTAGCAGTTTAATGTTCAAGCATACAGCTTACATGTTCAATGTTCAAGTATAAAGAGTAAACAGCTTAAACCTTCAAGTATAGTGAGCTCCAGTAAAAGTGCAATGTGCATACAGTCCCATGAACTCAGTGAGTAGATATGCTGAGTACTGGGAGGATCAGGGTTTAGATCAGGAAGGCTCTGTAGTGTGTGTTCATGTTCAGGTTGGTGTTGCTGATGTGACCAGTTTAACAGCTCATGGCTTTAAACTGTTCTTGAATCTGGTGGTTCTTCAGGATGTTCTGGTACCTCTTTCTGGAGGACAGAGGCTGGAACAGGGAGTGTCTGGGGTGTGTGGGGTTAGAGAGATGTTGATGGCTTTCGTCAGGCATCTCTTACTGTAGATGTCCTGTATGGGTGGGAGGGCAGTTGCGGTGATGTGCTGGACTGTTTTTACCACCCTCTGCAGGGCCTTACATTCAGCAGCAGTGACGCTGCCAAACCAGACCGTGATGCAACTGGTCAGGATGCTCTTCACAGTGGAACTGTAGAAGTTGCAGAGAAGCTGTTGTGGCAGCTTGACTCTCCTCCGCCTTTGGAGGAAAAGGAGGGGTTATTGGGCCTTTTTGACATGGTATGATGTGTTGAGTGACCAGGTGAGATCCATGGCTATGTGGACACCGAACTTGAAGCTGCTCACGTTTTCGACAATCGACAATCATCCCCTAGGTTTCGCTAACACTGAGGGAGAGCTTGTTGGACTGCTCTGTAAGGAGCTTCACTTCCTCCCTGTACGGTCCCTCATCGTCGTTGGTGATGCTGCCAATTATTGTTGTGTCATCAGCAAACTTGATGATGGTGTTGGAGCTGTGTTTTATGATGCAGTCGTAGGTGTACAGTGTGTGGAGCCTGCGTGAGAGGACGCAGGCTTGTGGGCATCCTGTGATAAATGTGGGGGGTGGGGGGGTGTTGGTCACCCATCTTAACAGACTGTGGTCTGCTGATCTATGATTCAGCTGCACAATGAGTGACTTAACTGGGTGTTTTAACTGGGTTTGATCACAGTTTTCCCAGAGGTTTGTAACTGATTGCAGACAGACTTTACTGCACTCCATTTAACACACCATAAATATATAGTATGAAAAATACTGAGTCACCACACTGTGATAAATAGAGAAAAAGAAAAAGGAGGAATTACATAAAAGCACTTAAGAGCAGCAAAGGAAAGAAATCAGATTTACAGCATTAAGATGGCTGCTGCCCCCTTGTGGTGCCCCTAATTAAATGTTTATTAACAAGATCTTCCTGAAGAGCACTCTTCTTTTTTAAAGCTTTCATTAGGATCAGCAGTGCTGGGCAGCAGTGTGTGAAAATGGTCTGATTATTTTAATATGATTATTATAGTAATCAGGGCTGTAGTCAGGATCAGAGGTCTATTTTGCAGAAATGTGACCCACTTCACACAGTGAGTGAAGCACATTGACAAATATGTGCACTAGAGGTTTGAATCTTTGAGCTGACAGTGAAACGTTTCTCAGACAAAAACTGAAAGGTTAAAGTATTGTGAAGTGCTTTTTAAAGAAAACAGGACCCTATTTCAGATAACATATTTTTGAACATGACTTTTATTAATATATTTCCACTCTCTCACAGTAATTTTATATAGATATCTGTACATACACAGACATGAACAGATATAGGAACTCAAAGTAAACACTCAAAGCTTAAACATGTAAGTGTATGATAAGAGGGTACGACACGATACGGAAAATACAATAAATCAGTAAAAATGTAGGTAACAGTGGAAACAATGTCCAAATACTGTAAAGCTAAACCATATCTGTGAGTTTAGTATATATAAATCTACACACAGTTGAGGGAAATAATCTGAAACTTCTGCAGCAGAAAATAAAGAACGTAAAATTCATGTCAAAACATTTCTAGTCTTTGCATCAGAAACTGTGTCATTAATCAAAGTACAGCATTAAAAATATATTATACGGTAAAACTGAGGCCTCTATTAATGATTCCATGAAGTGAGTATTTGTACAAAAATAACATCAATATAAATGAACCATGTAGATATAAAATCACTAAACGACATGAAAGCATGAAAATATGTAACTCATATGAAAGTATTTAAACTGTTATTAATTAAAAATATTTATATATTGTTTGTTTCTGTTTTATTGATTTCTGTGCGCATCCTTTTGTTTTCATTACTGTTGTATTGTTTAAATCATAGTTGCTCCACTATTTACCACAATATTAGACTCACTTTGTCTATAATGCTATTTTCAAAAACTGAAAAACCCCTCAGCCCCCGCCCTCACCAAAGTCTGTGAACACCACTGATCAGCTGTCTGTATTCAAACAGTGACAGATCTGCCAACTTTACATCTTTGCTATAGTCAGATTTAAGCTTGCCAGGATGAGGTGAGGTGTGTATGCAGAGGGTGATATGATTTAGGTTTTTTATGGTTTTAGTTGTACAGTTTTACTTTTAGTCTCCAGCCATGAATTCCGTCACACCGAACTGTTCAATAAAGAAATTTTTGAAAGTTTTAATTCACTTTCTGAGTCATTTCATCATTTTTTAAGGAACACAGCCATTTTAACTGTCTGCAGAGACACTGGAATTTCATCTAAAATATTAATAAAATGTTTCAGAATCAAATCTTTATCATGCTCAAATAGGACATCTTTCCACAGCAACATTACATGTATGAATTTACTATAAAACTATTATTGGAAATAAAATATTACTTACTTACACATAAAATTATATCACCATGAGTGGCTATGTGGACATCAAGATCCAGATCGTGGTAGTTTCAGGACTTTTTCACATTCATATTTACACTTATGAGACTTAACATGGAAACAGCTGTGTTTTCCACGGTGGTCTACTCTGGAGTGTAGCCACATACCGGCCTCTTGTATCCTGAGCCTATACACACTGATCACAGGCCTACCTAATCACATGGGAAAAGAATATTTATTAAGAGAATTACTTCAGTAAATGTGTTGTTTTTATGTAATCACAAAAACAGTGAATTCAAAACAGGCTGTTTTTGCAGCTTAGTTTCTATATATGGACTGTAAGGACTGGGGAGTGAGGGATATGTCTTTTATTTCAATAGATAGAAGTTTTCTGTTATTTGAATCCTTTAAGGCAAATGAGGTGAGGCAAGGGGCACAGCATGACATTCTTGGGGGGCTCTAAATTACTACTGGTGCCCCTGGCATGAGCTGGAGGGATGTATTAAAACGTCACATGACAGATGTACAGGTAGGTCTGTCAAAACTGACTTTTAATATGCAATATTTTTCCAACAGGACTCTTCACCCTTCCAATCACGCTCAGTCGTAAGTTCATTTTGCTTTCCTTAGTCAAGAAAAAATGTTCTCCCCAATACACAAAGCTAACATGATGTGACCTGAGATGCCATGAGATGGACAACAAAGTTTACTTGATAAAAGCCCAGAGATTTTTCTGCCATTATAAAAATAGCAAGTGCTTAATAAAAGGTCCCGTTTTCATGTGTATGAAAGGATTGTTGCTTCATTTTATGAATAGCACTATGATATATTGGTATTTTCATGAAAGTCTGAAGGTGGGACAGTTGGCACAAAGAAACAGGAAATCTATGTAAATGAGGTAGCACAAGATAAGATGCTGATATTTTCATGAAAACATAAGGTTTTGTCATGAGATTCTGGAAAGCGATTCAACAAGTACAGCCTCATTGCCTTTTTATCCGCACACGTCTGACTCCTTCTGTCGCGTTACACATAGTTTTGACAGTAGTCGGCTACTAACTGTTTCAGAACTTTCATCCTTTATAATATAACTCAACAACTTATTTAATTGGAGGCTTATACATATTCCCCTTACCAGGTGTATATAAAGTATCAGATAAGAGAGGTTTGATTTGAATATTTGAGTGCGTTTGCAATTTCCTCATTTTTTTTGACATAAACACTTTCACTCTGGAATCCATAAAGAGTTTTATAAGTGAGGCACTTGGTGATGACTAAAATATTTGCTCATGTTAGATCTTATTTCATATACTTTTG